TAAGTATTTGTTGTGTTTCTCTTAGATGTGTTTCTAAGATACTCTTATGTTTGGCTGTGAAAAAAAAAATGATTATGAAGGGCAGACCATCTATTTGTATTTATTTTGTTTTTTTTAGAAAGGGGCAGGTCATATAAGATTGTATTCTTCTCCCTGCTCCTTTTCGCTCAATGGTGTGTTTGTAGAGACATGTTTTGTTGGCAATTATTGTACATTTGGTTTTGCGTACCATGAGCGGGACAAATAAAAATGAAATGAAATATCTTCACTTGTTCTTCAAAAACGAGCTCGCTTGGCACATTTCTAACAAAACCAGTTTGCAAAACGTTCTGCAGACCGATTTCTTCAAGAGAATACTTTTGGATTTAGTTCAACCCCTTTAGGACCCCCTGTTTTCTTTGCATTTTCTCTCTATCTCTTGCGTCCACAGGTGAGAAGCGTTGACTTCGCGGTGCTCACAGTATATTAAATGAATTGTTGTGACGTGGTCTGTCTGCTTGGCTCTCCTCTGTGAAACATGTCATCTGTCCTGAGCTTGTTTCTACCATTTCTCCGGTTCTTGTGAGCGCTGCAGAGACTGATGGCTTTCTCAGATGTGACCGTGTGCTTCTGGCTCCTGACCGCAGTCAACCAACCCACTCGCCACCTTCTGAATCCTGCCATCTGTCTTTCTCTCTTTTGTTTATTCAGTGAGCGTAGCTTTCTTCTCATACTCCATCTCTCTTTCATTTCTTCCTAATCTGACCACTTGGTACGTTTAAAAACTGCACTGGGGGGAATTTTGATGTTGAATGTTTAAGTGGGACAAATCCCCAACTAACTCACGCACCATTTAAATCTTAAACTTTAAATAATAAAGATCCAGGTTGGTTCTGTTGTGCAGCATGAGTTTGCAATTGATTGATTTTCTTGTTATATTGGTTACAAAATGTCAGATTGGGCTCAAAATGTACCCTTCTTCTCTTTGGATAAAAGGCATCACAGACTGGAAAACTGTGCACTTTATACTAGGAATAAAACCCAATTACCTTTTGGTGCAATTTGTATGACGGTGTATTTGGACCATTGCAGGTTGTTGAACTTTATTCCACCTTCAACTCTTTCTCCTAACCTTAAATGTCACCAACAGTGCACTTTTATCAGATTAACTTCGTCTATCTGGCTCATGTTGTTCATCCGAGAAACATTTTGATACCTCTTCCGTGTTCTTGCAGTCAACGTACTGTATCGTGTTTCTGTCAAATTTGCACGTAGACGGATCCATTGTCGGGAACCCCAGAAGGTCAAATCATATCAGTAACATAAGTACTCTTAAGCAATACTCATACCAAACCTTTGCAATGGCTGCGATTATCCAAAACCTTTTGTTTTTTTCGTAAACGAGTCCTCAAGGGGATGGAGCTGTATGCCATCAGCAGTCATGCGGTACGAAGTGAGTCTTGGCTACATCACAAACTCACTTGTTGGATGTCTCAAGCCTCCATAAATAGTGTTTCGAAAGTCGCCTCCAATGAGTATGAAAACATTGCGTCGCCTAACACATAATCCAAATCATAGGAAAATGGTGTTTGGTCCCCCGACAGCGTGACATCACCCAACGTTTCCCCTCGTTGACCTTTGTCAGATGGCAGGGCTGAACCTGAGATATTCAACATCTAATATTCCCTAAAACAAGCGAGAAAAACTAAAAATGTAGTGTTGTTGCTTTCTTGCTTGTTAGTTAGTTGGAGGCTCTGCTTGAAGGAACACCAAGAACAAATCCACTGTTCCGTAACGTGTAAACCCAGAAGCTCACCACATTTCCACTCCTTTAGTATTCCCAAACGTTAAGCAGTGCTGTCATTAATTATAAAAGGTCCAATATTTGTAGATCTGAAAGGGACATTTAACCACAAAAATCAAAATGAATATTGTTTTCTTTATCCGTAATACTATCTAGAATGTTTTGGTGTGATTTGCAAGTGTTAAGGGGCCTACACACCAAGCTGACACCAAAGAACACGTCCTGACGGACCCGACTGTTGTGTCGCCTCACGTCTCTGCGTCCTGGCCATGTGTCGCACTGGAACACACCGCAAAGACTTCAGCCGACGGCCAAGTAGCACGTACGCACTGCACATGCGTGAGTGGCAATAACTCTCCTTACCAGCAGGCGGCGGTAGTGTGTATTCGTCATTCAAAAGAGGCAACAACAACCGGAAGACAGACTGCGTGATACACCGAGAGAAGAAGAACAGACTGCGTGATATAAACAAACAACAAATAGCGTGTGCGTTCCATTTTCACTCTACAGCGAGAAGCTCATGGGGCTTTCCCCAACCTGTGTCGAGAGCTGGAGTTAAATGAAATCTCAGATTTGCCTTCTTAATAGTTTGTTTGGGTCCCTCACTTCCGTTTCGCTTCTCATGCACTGATTCGCTAAGCTGAACAGCCAATCAGAGTGATTTATTTGGCTGACGACGGTTGAATCGGTGGCGGAAGGTGGCGGCACGGCCGAAAAGACACGACGGGGCGGGACACACCAATCTGAGTAGGGCGACAGAACGCTCATCGATGGCCAGACAGCTAATAATAATAATAATACATTTTATTTATATAGCGCTTTTCGCTTTATCGACATCTATCGACGGCCGAAATCGGCTTGGTGTGTAAGGGCCTTTAGAGATATCAACCATAAAGATGTCTTCTATCCAATAAAATGGAACTAGATGGCATTCAGCTTGTGGTGTTCAAAGAGTCTGTCCAGTATAATATTTCTAATAAGTACTCAAGGGTCTGAGTATAACGTTTAAAGGTAGGGTATGTAAGTTTGAGAAACCAGCTCGAGATCGCTAGAATTTGAAAACACACGACCGGAGAAAATCTGCCACTTCCTTACAGAGCCCCTCCTCCAACACACACGAACGCGCACATGACCAATGAGGGCACGAGATAAGTTTGTGCACAGATGGAAGGCTGACAGGCAGGTAGGCCATCCAGTTATTTTAGCCGGGCCGGCTCAGATGATTGGTCGTGCTTTTTACAGTACCACAGCTTCCACAGATGATATTTTTTTATGGATTTTTTGTCAAAGCACTTAAGATATTCATTGCTATCAGGATGTTAAGAGCATTCCATGGAATATAACAAAAAGTGTGTCTCGAGCCGGTTTTCTCAAACTTACCTACCCCACCTTTAAATGTTGTTCTGATTCAAATGTTTTCATGGTGAGGCAATTTGTGTGATCCTAGTCTACACAAATAAAACTGACTTCACTTGACTGCAAAACATATAGCAGGCATAGTATCTAAAGTTGAGCATTAAAAAAGGACAGTTGCCCAAAATCTAAATTGACCTGTAGTGCCAATTTTGAATATAGATTGCTTTGCTGCATTGCCATTTGTTGGACACATTGGAGATGTCTGCCTCCTTTCCACTATATTATTGGCCTATGGTGCTCAAAGCGCAAAAATAATAAATTTAAAAAAAACTCTAGGGAAATGTCTCTTTCTAGAAATCATGACCTTGTTACTCAATAACATAATCAACAGATTTAATTGTGAGTTTCCTAAGGAACTAATTTATTTCTCACTAACTCGGCTAGCTAAAGATCATATTTTTAAAAACTCGAATAAATGACCCTCACGATAATCCACAGAGCTTGTTGTGAGCAGTTTGATGTTGGAACTATTTTCTTTCCACCAAACTAAACCCACCAATGGTTAGCTAGCAATCTCAGCAAGCTAACGGTTAGCTGCGTTAGTTATGTCACATATTTTTAACAGCTCGTGCTGGGATGAGCATGGAACTTTTATCCCATGAGTGGATGCACACTTTCTTCTGTGCAGTGATATGGTTGGCAGGTGTAGTTGGGTAGAAAGAAAATAGTTCCTACATGAATCTTCTCACAGCGAGGACTGTGTATTGTCTTCAGTAACTGGGTGATGATTTCTGGAAAGAGATGTATTTTCTAGCTCCACAGTATGACAGCAGTCTAGGAAATAAGAACATTATATTTGCAGGAACTCTACGACTGATATTTCCAACACTAGGCAAATCACACCAAAGCAATCTAATGTATTTTGAAAGATGAATAAAAGATGAATAAAAGTCATTCTTTATTTTGGGGAACTATCCATTTGTATGTGCATACCTCAGAATAATATACCTGTATATTTGTGCTTCCCAGAATCACAAATTAGCGTCATTGTGATTTTCATTCTGAACAACATGAGACCATTAAGACCCTTGAGCTCCTATGGGAGACTGTAATACAGAGCATTTAACAGGTATCAATAAGCGCTGGAGGAAATGTGTTATTTAGGTGTTTGTAAGGGACAAGTTTTTTGTGTTTTGGTGCCAATTTGCTGTTTTTTAAAGTGTTCATTTCACCACCAAAGGCAGCGATAGACAAGCAACTCGTGTGTTCTGCGAGGTAAAAATACAAGTTTTGTCACTGGAGGCTGGTGGCTTAGAAAAGCATAAAAAAAAGCTTTGATTCAGTCTTGAAAGGACTGTTTGACTGCAAGTGAAAGTTGCACTGTTGTTGATGTTTACTAGATGGACCTTTCTTTAAGTTGACTAAAATATATGTTGCTGTTGTAAACGCCTGAAAAAACGGTCCATCTGAATCTAAAACACGACAGTAACTTAAATTGAAGTTCTGATGTTTTTACCGGACATTCATACGCATGAACTCCAAAGTTAGATCTTAAAGTATTACTGATCGAATGCAACCCCCCCCCACAGAGATGATATACCCACCACCAAGTTTCTTGTATTGAAATAAACTGATTATTTTCAGTAGTTTTTACAGCACCACAGTTTTATTGACTGCCCCCCTCCAGGCCCCCCCAAAGCTTCATGACCCCCCGCTGCTACCAGCTGACAGTGGGAGAGGGAGGAAGAAAATAAAAGCAGGGGGGAGAAACTCAAGCTTCTGGGAAAACAAATACTCATCCTGTTTCTTGGCACTTTTCTTTTAACCCTTTCACTCATTCTGTTGTATTCTGAGGGACAAATAACAAACTTTCTGTTGTTTTTAATAGCATATTTCTTCTTTTATTGCAAATACATATACAAAAGATTCTTTAAAGACAGTACAAATACATGGCAAGATCACAGAAGGTGAAAAGAAAGTATTGGGAACATTGTGATATTAGGAGATAAAGGAAATGGAGCAGAAAGAAAGGACGGTCCTTCTTGTGATCGCAAAAACAAAAGTTTCAAAACTCAGATAACATCTTCCAGTTCTTCCAGCCATAGTTTAAAGTACAACTCAAAGGAAATTCACAAATAACAAATAATCCGTACACATTTCGTTAGATAGCCCTCCCCCCCCAGACCCTCAGAAAAAGGCAAATACATACTTAAAATAGACATTTAGATAAGATAAATAAACAATAAAAAGTTGATTACAGCGTGTACCATTTTGTCTAAGAACCCCCTGGGTTGAAAAAAAAAAAGAATAAGGGGGGGGGGGGGAAATGATATGCAATGTAAATTTCAAAAACAACATTTAATTAGTTATAAGAATAGTATGCAAAATAATTACTTTGAAATAAAATTAAAGCTAATAAATAAATAAAGTTTTAAACTGGGTTTGCCCAGAGGGGGGAGGGTGACCAGCAAGGTAGGAGACTAAAGGGGGGGGGGGGGGGGGGGGGGGGGAGTCAAAGGTGACTTCCTGTAGCTGTCAAACACACGCTGTTGGACGGTAAGTGTAATCTCAGCTGTGGCCATCACACACACTCTCACACACACATACAAAAAGTTTGAGAAAATGTAAAAAATCCAAGGCACGGATGGTGGAAAGGGCTGCAGTCCGCCCCCCCCCCCCTTTTAAAAAAATGGCATTGTGAAATCAAGCCTCTCTTTCTCTGTGTTGCCTAATAACTTTTTCTGACGATCATAACACATTTCTTGAAAAAACAAATCAACAGCTTGAATACAAACCATACTTGCTGAATGGCACAGAAAAGAGCAAAGATAGAACTGAAGTCGAACAGAGCTGGTTAGCTGCTGACCTTTTGAAATATAAAGCTTTCTGTTCATACAGGTACAAATAATGACCTCTTCCCCACCCCCATGGGTTACAAACTGCCAGAAGAAAAATAAGAGAAACATACACAGTACCTACGGAAATATCAACAATCGATAAGTCCTCACAGAGGATTTTGTTTTCTATCATCATCTCTCTAAAAATATATATATATCGTTTCTATCAAGATAGCAAGGCACGACGTGAGCCAATCACAAGTCCAGCTGTTCTACTCTTCAAGTGTCTGATTCAGGGAGCCCCCCTCCCCAAATTCAAAGTGTTTTTGGGGGGGTTTCATGGTCTGGTGAGCTGGGTGTAGACGGGTGCTGGGTCCCAGTGCTGGGGGCCGGTCTGAGGGACGGACGGCACCCCCGCGTTATCAGCGATGGGCGTGTACATTGGCCTCTGACTGCTGCCACTCATATAGCTGAAAGTCGAGTACAGACCCGAGCTTTGTCCCGCCCCCGCGTGGCTGTAGTAAGAAGCTGTTCCTGCCCCCCCTTGGTGCTCGGAGTAGTCGTACTGCTGCGCCCTGGAGGAGGTGTAGGTGGAGGCAGGGGGGCTGTAGTGCTGCAGGTTGAAGGGGCTGAAGGCGGCGTGTTGCGGGGAGCTCTGCTGCTCCGTGTAGTGACTCGGACTCAGCTGCTCCGTCTTGATTTGGGTCCTCTCGGAGGAACTGACGGCGGCCAGAGAGTGCTGGGTTTGGGTTTTTGCCAGCCATGCTGTATTCTGAGGGCTCCCTGGACCCCCTCCTCCTCCTCCTCCTCCACTGATGCTGTAGCTGCCGGTGTACGTGATTGGCGTGACGCTGCCGGGGATGGCGGGGTGTCCGTTGGGGGGCAGGTACTGGTCGAACTCGTTGACGTCGAAGGTCTCGATGTGGGAGATGACGTCGCTGCTCAGCTCGCCGATGTCCACGTCGCGGAAGTCGATGTTGAGCTGGCGTCCGTCTGAGAGAGAGCGGAGACCCCCTTCACGCTTTAGGTCCATCTTGACAGAGCTGATCTCAGTCTTTGGGGTGGTAGGGGGGGTGGGAGGCCCCTGGGAACCTGAGAGTGAAACAATATGAGACAGATTAGACTCTGATTTCAGATTAGATCAGGCTCTCTGTGTTCATTTTGTGTAATCCAATAGGGTTTGATTTTTATCAACTCTTCAAAATAAGTCATCAGAGTATAAGGAAGAAAATGGAGCATGGAGCATTAAATATATATATAAAGGTTTTTTAAAGCTAAAGTAGCATTTTAGATTTTTTTTCTTGTTTCTTTCCTTTAGATTTTTGCACTTTTCTCCAATTTGCACGAATTCACCAAAGCAAATCCCTTGTAGTGCAAACCTCCTGGGCTATTTACACCAGATTCTGATTCTGCAAATGTCTGCCTACTGAGAGCCATCTGTTCTCTGAGCTCACCTGAGAGTTCCCCCGGAGAGTGCACCTCTCCCATGCTGGAGGCCGGAGAGTCTGCCTGCTGCAGGGCTTTGAAGATGGCGGTGGGAGTGATGTGTGTCTGCTCGCTGCCGTCCTCCGCGTCGCTCTGCCCGTTCTTCACAGACTTCCTCCGCCGGGGCTGGTACTTGTAGTCCGGGTGATCCTTCTTGTGCTGCACGCGGAGCCGCTCAGCCTCCTCCACAAACGGCCGCTTCTCTCCTTCATTGAGAAGTCTGCGAGGAAAAGGGACCATTAATTAAGAGTGCATCACTTTAAATGATTTCCCCAAACAAACTATGTAAACTATTGCATGCATTTCATTTGGTTTGCATAGAAGATAAACAGTAAATGTGCAACACAGAAACCAGGCCAAACTAGATACAAATCACATTACTTCTTACATTTGTGCGTAAATCGGTGTTTAAAAACCGAAAAGCATCCCATTGACACTCACCTCCAGAGTTTCCCCAGAGTTTTGCTGAGCTCCGCGTTATGCAGGTGAGGATATTGATCCGCGAGCTTCCTGCGGGCAGCCTGAGCCCAAACCATGAAGGCGTTCATGGGTCTCTTCACGTGAGGCTTGTTCTTAGAAGATCCGTTTACGCGCACGGGCATGGGCACGAGGGTCCAGTCGTAGCCCTTGAGCACCTGGGACACAGCGTCGCGGATGCAAGCGGGAAACTTATCGTCCTCCTCCTTCTTGAAGTCTGCGTCCACACCGAGCAGCCCGTTCTCTGAGGGGCGCGTGTTCTCGGTGTCTGAGCTCGAGCCCGAGGGGCACGGGGAGCCCGCGGAGTCCTCGGACATGCTCGGGCTGGGGGCGTCAGAGAGACACTTTTCTTGTTCCTCCGTCATCTTAAGGTAAGGGTCAAGGAGATTCATACGAAAAGCGGTGTGGTGCCAAAATACGCGTGAAACGGAGGAGTTCTTTCTGATGCCTTACGCAAGGAAAAAGTCTTTAAATTAGACTTTACCTTGCCAAAATGACCAGAGTCTATCAGCTGAGATAAGTGCACAAAACAATCTCTTTTGCTCCCGTGCGTAAAACCGATTTGGATTGTCTTTCCGCACACGTTTCTGTCAGACTCCTGGGAAGAGTGCGTTTTCTGCAAGTGGGTCCGAGGAAGCAAAAACAAGCCAGCTGGTTAAAAGTCTGCCTTCAACTGTGCAGGATGAAACGGTAAAGTGTTCCTCTCAGTCTCCAAGTAGAATCCCCAGAACGCGCGAGTGCTTTGAACTGCACACTGTTCGCCTTCAGGTTTTATAAGAGCGCGAGCATGCTGCACAGGAAAGCCCGAATCTGATTGGACGACAGCCTGTGACGTCAAAGTGAAGGAATTTGATCCCATTTTTTCCCTCTGCTAACCAGCACCACACACACACACACACACACACACACACACACACACACACACACACACACCTACACACACACACACACACACACACACACACCGAACTTTCTCTTAAAACACACATACAGACACACCGTTTCTCCTAAAATACACACACACGCGCTGCCTGCCCACAAGACATATATGTGCTTCTTAATTCCGCTGGATTTTCCTATAGATATTTACGAGGCTATAAGGGGAAAGATACATTTAAACATACTTATGGAATATAATTAGTATTAGTTATATGCTAAAAGTGATATTTACTATATAGGAAACATACAAGGAGAAATTAATTGCAAAATATTGATGAAGGTTATAGAAAAAACCTGTAAAAAAGACAGATTATAAGTTTAAAAATTGTTATTCATGACATTTAGCATCATTATCTGCAATACACACTTTCAGTTTTCTACTTTAAAAAATATTTTCTGTTGTTTTAAAGTGTCGTTCTCTTCACTTTGTCCATAATCACAGTTACAGCATGTGGTCAATAGGGGGAGACAGCAGTCTAGGAACTCACTCCCTTTCTGAAAGCAGCAGAAGGAGGGAGGAGGGGAAGAGGGTGACTCTAGGAGGGAGGAGGGAAGGAGAAGGAGGGAGTTGGAGCTCCTTTGGACTGCTGCTGTGCCGGAGTTGCTGTCAAACATCAGCTCCTGATTTGTATCTCATTCCCAACAACAGAGCAATGATCCGCTGAATGGTGAATACTGTTCACTTTGCTGACTGCTCAACTTCCACACTTACCTTTTTTTTACCAAATGTTCCTCATAAAGTCAAGAAATGTTTTTTAAGAGCTGTGTTTCACAGTATTTTAACTTTATTTCCTTTCTGGATTTATAGAGATATTTTAATCCTAACTTTTTCAATACACTCATCCATCTTCTGTTTTACTCATGACACATCGTTTTGTAAAAGCACCGATGACTTTAAGTATCAGATAAACTGACGTGACTATAGGAAGCATTGAGATCCTTTACGTGCACAAAAGTAGCAATACACCCATGTCAAAAATACTTAATTACAACCTGCATTCACAATGTTAAAGAAAAATACAGAATCGGTGAAATATAAAAAAAGCTCTTTGCATACAAATGCTCCCTTTTTGAGTTAATATATCTATGCATCAATCCGTCAGAAACATGTTAATGTTGCAGCTGCTCAATGCACACTTCATTTGAACTTCTTCATTTACTGTTGAGGAGCTTAATCTATAATAGTACAGCATATGATTTGCTTTGAATGGAAAAAGAATGCCTGCGATTGCCTTTAACAGGAGACCCTATGCTGGTTATTTGAGTGACAAATCTTTAACTTTGGGTGCATTTAGGAGAAGTTGAAAGGTGCAAAAATACAAATTATAGTAAAATAAACACCTGAATGTTAATTTTGGATTTGTTATGTTGGAAGAAATACACGTTATGGAAGCAAAACTGCAAAGTGTTTGCCCTTATTGTCCCGTCAGAACTGCTAAATGCATGTAGTGGATGAAAAACAACCTTATTTCCTTCAGAAATGCATTTGATTTGACACAAAGTTACAGAAATCAGAAAAGGTCCAATACAAGTAGCTCAAAAGTTTACTTGTACATGCACTGTTACATACTGACACCTCTTTTTATGTGAATCATTTATGAGTCTAGTTGCACCTCTCCTCACTAAAAAAAACACACACACACACACACACACACACACACACACACACACACACACACATACACTGCCTTTGTCCTCTCAGTTCACCGAACGTTGCCACTCTCCAATCAGAGAGTAATAATCCGTGCTGTGCTCTGGTCACTGAAAGTACCCCCCCCCCCCCCCCCCCCCCTCATTTGATTGTTTATTATGCTTTGTGGAGATGTGGAAATGTAAATCTCAGTTCAGCCTAATGTGGGCAACATGTGCTACCTGCAGTCGCCTTTAATCGCTCACAGATGTCAGGTAGAGCTCGTTTCAGTCACTGTAGCCACACACACACACACACACACACACACACACACACACACACACACACACACACACACACACACACACACACACACACACAGACATGGACACACACACGGACACACACACACACACACACACACACACGGACATGGACACACACACGGACATGGACACACACACACATACACAGACATGGACACACACACGGACACACACACACACACACACGGACATGGACACACACACGGACATGGACACACACACATACACAGACATGGACACACACACGGGGACACACACACACACAGACATGGACACACACACACACACACACACACACACACACACACACACACACACACACACACACACACACACACACACACATACACACAACCACACACACACACACACACACACACACACACACAGCTTTTTATAACAGATACAAACCTTTCTCTTTCTCTGTTATGTTGCTTGTTTGCGTTGAAACTCTGAATCACTCTGTAATTCTTTCTCTCCCTGACCAATTAGACCTGCGGTTCCCAAACACTACAGCCTAACATCGGTTCTTCGGAGTCCGTTTATTTACACGCGACATGCTTATTTAAGATCCTCACTTTGAACACAAATAGCAGGAGCAGTTTGGCTGTGCGTTAATAGCTGGTTGGACGACGCTGTGGTCGTGTGCGCTGCCGTTACACAACGCCACCAAAACTACAGCGTGTTTGCTTGTAGAGCAACAGAGGCGTGAAGAGACTCAGAGCTGTGGCACGAAAACACTGCGAGGCTGTTGACAGAGTACATGTGAGGATGGCAAAGAAGAGGAAGAAGAAGTGGGGCAGATGTCTAAATAGATGTAAAAAAGGGAAAATGTTGCTAATAATAAGGAAAAAAAGACATATACGTACAAGGCGAGGCTATAAAGGCAAACAAATTAGTTTTGTTTTTAGATTTTGGGCTATTTTTGCTTCCATAACATGTTGTCTCTCAGATTAGTACAAAGAAAACATCCAAAATACACATTCAGGTGTTTATTTGACCAACTTTGCGTCTCTAGATTTCTTCTAAATTCACGAAAAAGTAATTATTAGACAATGCTTCAGTTGCATATTAACACACAGTATTTTGAAAGATGTGTAAAACCAGAAATGCTCATTTTAATTTAATTAAACAACTGGGGACGTTTCATAGTGATATCTGCCAAAAGCATAAAATGGCCCCTTTAACAAATCATTCATAGCATTTTATGAAATGATTTAATAAGACACTGCCTCATTTGCATATAATGTCAGAACATTTAAGACAACTTGTAACACAACACATAATTGTCAAGTTTTCTTTAAGGTGATATCTTTTTTTTAAACCCTATCCTCCTGTAGTGTCTTGCAACATGGAGTTGTGCCAATACATACAGTATGTCAGATGTCTTTGTCTACATATCAGTCCAAAGCATATTTATACAGCATTTTACAAGATCATTTAATAAGATATTGCCTCATTTGCATATGTAATGAAACCATTTTCAGAAAATGTATAATACACACGACGGTTGTCACGCATGTGTTCAATCAACTGAGGATGTTTCATAGTGATATCTATTAGTTAAAATACCCTTTGCTTGTACACTGGCAGCTGCTCAGTTGTCAACTAGATATGCACGCTTGTAAACACACACACACACACACACACACACACACACACACACACACACACACACACGCACACACACACACACATACACACACTGTGACAGCATATATGACCTCCACTCCCACGTGACATCTTGGCAAACCTGTAGAAAACTGCAAAACAAATCTGGGATGAACATATGGTGAACACAGCCCTCCTCCTCTTCCTCCACCTCCTCCTCTTCCTCCTCCACATGTCACACAGGAAAGTTAGACTCCAAAAATGATTCATATGACAACTGTTGGATAATAAATTAACTATGTTCAACTCTCTGAAAGTGAATATTTATGATCAGATCTGCAACTTTCAGAATGACTCTTCCTGTTTTCAACCGATTCCAAGTTTCTACATGACTCACTGGGTTGGTGAGGGATCAGTGTGTGGTTTGAACGTGGCGTCAGGATGAAAGGGAAGTCCTCTCTGTGGTGGTTTAGTTACGATGACCAGAGGCTGGGGGGGGGGCGGGGGTCTTGGGAAACTTCTCATCTTGACTTGGAGCTACAGCGTAACATATCTGAGCAAACAGTGGGAGTCACCTGCTACACTCTGCTGCCTTTCTGATCCTCACACCTGGGAGATGTGTCCAGGTTTCTAGTGTACGTTGTATTTAATTTTATTTATTTTATTTATTTACAGTATTTTATTTTATTTATTTATTTTATTTATTTCATTTATTTTATTTATTTTATTTATTTTATTTATTTTATTTATTTAAATTTTAAAGAGTTAAATCCGACAATATCGCCAATTTATTTAAAAAAAATTAAATATATTTTATTGAGCATTAAAAGTACAAAATATACAATTACAGAATAAGAAAGGGACAGAAACATAATGCTCACTTTCAGTTTTTGTACATTGTATTTTTAAAGAGTGTCAGTATATCAATATTAATTTACTTGCTTTTAGACCTGATGACAGACTTGGATCCATCCCTCCATATGAACCTAAATGTTGTTTTTGGATGCACTCTGGTTTCCATTTTAAGCCTAAATGGTAATAACAAGTATTACTGCAGATGTAACGATTTAAGTACATTTCCAAAAATAAAAGCGGATGTATATTTCTACTATAATTGGTGGTTAATTTCCATCATTTCCACATTAGATCAACTCGGATTGCACCTTGATGAAATGATGACCCTTTTAATTTCTGTGGCAGTGTGTGTTGTGCTGTTGGATCCGAG